GGAGGGATCTCTATGTGAATGCTATCTCTATGTGACACATACTGAGATGAATGAATAACCTCCCTACTGTGTGCCCCAGGTACTCTTCAGATTGCTGTTTCCACAATATGTCTGCAAGCTATTTTCCCTGCCTTTTCTTCAAGAACAACTTCAATGTCCTCTGAGCTCTCCCAGAGCCAAGCACGTTGACCTTTAAAATTCCAGGCTTTGGGCAGCCCCAGTGGCGCAGCGGTTTGGCGCCGCCTGCAGCCCAGGGCATGATCCTGGAGACCCTGGATCGAGTCCCACGTCAGGCTCTCTGCATGGTGCCTGCTTCTCCCTCTGCCTGTATCTCTGCCTCTCTCTCTCTCTCTCTCTCTCTGCGTCTCTATGAATAAATAAATAAATAAATAAATAAATAAATAAATAAATAAATAAAAATCTAAAAAAAATAAAAAATAAAAAATAAAATAAAATTCCAGGCTTTAAGCCCCACTGGTGGAAGAACTCACAAAATTCGGTCCCTCTTGCCTTCCAATTCAATTGCTCTGGGGATTTGTTTCCTCCATGCACTCCCCTGTGTACTAGTTTGTCTCTCACCTTTCTCCACAACTGTGGCTGCCTCCCCACCACAAGGGGCCACAATCCATTTCTCTCCCAAGCCATGTCTCTGGACTTCCTACCATTTTCTCTACCTTTAGTTGTGGAGTTTGTTCTGCTAGTCTTCAGATTGATTTCTAGAGTATTTAGGATGGTTTGATAGTTAACTAATATATTTGTGGGATGAGGTGAACCTAGGGTCCTCCTACTCTACCACAATCTTCCACAATAGCTCCTTATCTTTTTCAACTGGAGATCAGCACTTACTAAGCATCTATTATATACAACCCAGTGAAATACAAAGATGAGTTAAGAAGACCTCTGCCCTAAAGAGTTTGGAGTCTACAGGGAAAGAACCATGTAAAGCTGTTTGGTAACATACTATCTATGATTGAGGGCCCAGAAGTGGAGTTGATGCAGCCTGGGGGAGTTCTAGGAAAGCTTCTAGAGGATGTGATACTCAACTAAAAAGATGAGGAGGAAATTGCTAGCAAGATTGACAGTGGAGGAGAGGTGGTGTTGGTGAAAGTAGAAAGAACAACAGGAGCAAAGATCTTGGCTGCTAGAAATGAGGAAATAACATGGTATCTCCCAGGAGCTATAGCACTTCTATAAGACCAAAACGGAAAGTGTGAGGCACAGAATGGTAGCAAATAAGATGAGAGAAATGGATGTATTCTCAGTATTAGCTATTTATATCTGATAGTAATGGATATTTTCTTCTACTTATCTATCTCTATTTTAGGGACTGGACATGAGAAATCTCTGGAAATGCAACTTCAGTTTTATGTGAAGTTATTTGTTTAGGGGCTTCTTTCTCTGCAATTTCCTCATGAACTGAGAGTACAGTTGACCTAGACTTAATGATGGATTTCTGTATGCAGTAGCCGTAGGGCAGGAGTCCTGCAGATTCATTTAGGGTTCTAGAACAGAAGTTTTACTAGCCTTCTCGGAGACCTGAACAGGATACATCCTCTCCTTGTGAAGGATGTTGTAGAAAAAAAGCAATTGGTTCTCCATCCTGAAAACCCTGATGCAGTACAAAGCAAGGGGAAGATTGTCACACATTAAAAGAAATGGCAAAGAGAACTGATCACCCATCTGGCAAAGTTTATACCTTGAAAAAAGCCCAAAAAGTTCCTATGGAAAGAAGACAGCATACTGGGAATAAGAAATAAGCTGATAGGGTAATACAGTGTGTTGAAAGGTAACTTGAGGGTTGTTTTGGTATTTGTTTGTTCATTTGTTTTCTCTATTAGCTAACCCTTCTGAATAAGGTTGTTTCACTCTTATAACAATAAAATCTTAAAGTGGGAAGGTCTTGCTGGGTATAATATAAAACCAATATAAAAAGAAAAGATTGAAAATAATATAAAACCAATATAAAAAGAAAAGATTGAAAATCACAGCTACATGAAAATGAAAACTTTCTGCATGGTAACAAATGACAAACTAGAAAGAATATCACAGAGAGAGGGCTGATGTCCTTACAATATAAAGAGTCCCTACAAATCAACATGAAAAAGATCAGCAGCCTAACTTAAAAATGGGCAAAAATAAAAAACCTAATAGAAAAATGAACCAAAGATATAGACATAGAAAAGCACAAATAGTTTTTAAACATTTAAAAAGAAGCTTTTATTAGTTAGAGTAACTCTAACTAGTATATACAAACACAAAAATATTAGTACTTTAATATAATAGAAGTTCAAATATAATCCATTTGTGTGTTCAGCAGGTGGTTTTCCACATAGTGATTCAGAAACTTAAGATCTCTCTGTCTCTTGACTCCCAGCTTCTGCAGACTCATAGTCCTCCATACCTTTTCCATCTGGCCAGCTGATAAGAGAAGGAAGATGGAGAAGGTTGATCTTGAGAAGTTTTTATAGGCCAGGTTTAAAAGTGACATTCAGGGTGCCTCAGTGGCTCAGTCAGTTAAGCGTCTGCCTTCGCCTCAGGTCATGATCCCAGGGTGCTGGGATCGAGTCCTGAATTGGGTTCCCTGCTCTGTGGGAGCCTGCTTCTCCCTCTGTCTCTACCTCCCTCTCTCTCTCTGTCTCTCATGAATAAATACATAAATTTTTAAGAAAGGGGCACCTCAGTGGCTCAGCAGTTGAGTGTCTGCCTTCGACTCAGAGTGTGACCCTGGAGTTCCAGGATCGAGTTCCATGTCCAGCTCTCTGCAGGGAGTCTGCTTCTCCCTCTGCCATGTCTCTGCTTCTCTTTCTCTGTGTCTCTCATGAATAAATAAATAAAATCTTTTTTAAAATAAATAAAATTTAAGGGGATCCCTGGGTGGCGCAGCGGTTTGGCACCTGCCTTTGGCCCAGGGCGCGATCCTGGAGACCCGGGATCGAATCCCACGTCGGGCTCCTGGTGCATGGAGCCTGCTTCTCCCTCTGCCTATGTCTCTGCCCTGTCTCTGCCTCTCTCTCTCTCTCTGTATGACTATCATAAATAAATAATTTAAAAAATTATTAAAAAAATAAATAAAATTTAAAAATAATAAATTTTTAAGAAAAATAAATAAAACTGACATTCACCTCTACTTCCAGCCATATTCCCCTATGTAGAACTCAATAATTTGGCCACAACTACTGCCAGGAAACCTGGGAAATATAATCTAGATATGTGCCCAGGAAGAAAATTAAATGAATTTGGTGAACATCCAGCCAGTATACCACAATACTTCACCTATCTCATATTAAGAAAAATGAAAATTAAATTAAAACTACAATTATACACCATTTTCCATCTACCAGATTGACAAAGATTAAAAAACTGACAACATAATGTAAGGAAACAGGCACTTCCATTCCCACCCAAGGGGGGGAAGGGAGGGTTGGTACATTCTCTATGGAGGGCAACTTGGCCAAGCCTATCAAAATTTTGAATGGACATACTCTTGACTCAGCATATATAAATGTTTATACTTACATAAAGGATCTCTGGAAGACTAAACAAGAAATTAATAATAGTAGCTGTCTCTGGGAAAGGGTTAGGGTGGCTGGGATGTAAGAGAAGGAGATAGACTTATTTTCCACTATACACGGTTTTGTATCTTTTCAGTTTCACCATGGGCTTGTGTTATCTGTTCAAAACATAATTGTTTAAAAAATACAAAGTTGTATTCATTCATCAAATATCTCCTGATGTACCAGCCATCTTTCTAAACCTAGGACACAATAAGCAAGACAGAATTCCTGCCCTAATAATGTTTAATTTAGCTCCTTGGATTCTCAACTTTCCAATGGATCTTACTTCTCTGTACTCAGAATTGATAGTTTTTACTTCCAAAATTACCAAATGTCTCCTGATATCCTTGGTTTTCATCCCTCCATGTTAATGGATAGTAAGTTCTAAATATTCTTTTCCATTATTTCTTTTCAAATGTCTTCAATTTCCAAAAAAAAAAAAAACATAACCATATGCATTCTAACTTAAATCTTGTCAGAAAAGGTAGCCATAGGTAGTACTGATGGTGGTGGTGGTGGTCATTTCAGAGCAGGAGGCTTATCCCTAAAAAGAGAAGTAATTTACTTTGAAATTAAAATAATGCTAGTGGCTAAATTCTTCTGCTTTTATTTTATAGACCTAACATTTGTGTATTCTGTTATTTCAAATGCCCAGTGAAAGCTAAAGATTTTAATAGGTCTTCTTACAGAAAGTTATAAATGCCCAATATAGAAATGAAAGAACAGAAAAGTCTAAAGAAGAGCTATCATATCCAGCCCCTCTGAAGAAGTTCAGAAATTGAGAATAAAGCAAGGCCCTGATGTGACTAGGAAAACCCAGCTACAGGGGTGGCATTCTCTCTGTGAATTGCAGCCAGCCGGTGGCAGGTCCTCAGTCCATAAACACAGAAGCTTGAATTTCTCAGCACATACTAAGAAGCCTTCTCTTAAGACAGACTCATATTAGCCAAGCTGAAAATGAAACCCAGAAAATGCTTCATTTATTACTGACTAAAAGACCTCTAGCATCAAACCCCAACCCACCTGATGGCCTCATATCATGCCACTTTTATCCCCATGACCTTGGTTCCTGCCCTCAGGGTCACTTCCCCTTTCCTCTAGCACTGTCCCTAGCATCACACCTTTGCTCATGCTGCTCTGTCAGCCTGGCAGGCCTATGCAGTCCTCCTTATGCTCCAGGTGGCAGCCAGGACACTGCTTCCTCCTGTTGCTCCCTCCAGGCTCCCAAATCAGAATGACTCATTCCCGAGAGATTTTGTGTGTAACTTACTAGCTCACTTCGTATACATGCTTGACTCTCCCCCTTACGTAAGTTCTTGGGGATAGGGACTGTTTCTGATTTCCCTCTTGATTTTTCCTCAACCTTTTGTGCCTTGTCAGTGCCTTACTAGCCCCATCATTGCCCCTCCCAGCATTGGCTGATGGTGTCACACTTGTGTTTTTCAGATGCATTCCCAAACCACAAGTCTGCCTGACGACTTTTGATAAATTTGGATGTAGCCAATATGAGTGTTTGCCAAGACAGCTCACCTGTGACCAGGTTCGCGATCCTGTCTGTGACACAAACCACATGGAGCACAGCAATCTCTGCACTTTGTACCAGAGGGGGCAAAGCCTCTTATACAAAGGCCCTTGCCAGGTACAGTTGTTTGGCTGACATAACTCAAGCACACTGAGCCTAAGATCAGTTTCTGATCTTAGATGGGTGAGGCAGCAGTAATACCACTTGGGAGTCTTTGTGAATTCTATCAAATCTAAAGAACTAAAATGAGCCATCCCAAGACTGGTTTTTTCTCCTAACTCTGGAGGGCCTTCTTGCTAGTGCTTATACCTCTGTACATCTAGTGGACAAGCAAGAATCAAGTGGCTTCCTGCCGACCACCTTAGGAAGAGAATACAAAGTTACACACCCCTAGTACGCATCATTAACGTTTTCACTTCCCCTTCTGTGGCCATCATTAGAAAACAGCCTGGGAAGAATGCAAGTTAAAAACAACCAAGAAAACAGTCCCTTCCCACTCTTTCCACTGAAGTCCCACTCATACTACTGAAGAGTAAGTGAAAATTTCTCCAAGACTTAGTCTTTTTACATCAATTTATCTCTCAACCTTTTACATGTATCACTGCATGGCATCCCCTGCCTGTAGCCAACCAACACCTGACATGATTGCTTCTCATATCCTGGTCACCAGCAGAAAAATTGCTTCAGCTTGTCTCCTTAGGTTTGTTTTCCCTCAGAGCTGGTGTTCCAAGTACACTGATACCATCTACCCTGAATTCCCAGTCTTTTCTTCGTATTTGTTCCCTCTCACTGACTATAAGCTTTGTCTTACTTGTCCTAACCTACCTGATGGGACCAGAGTCTCTGCCCCACTGATCTCTCCACTCTTCCCTCTGCCTATCCCATACTCAGCATGAAATGATTAGGCTTCTGAATTTTCATGAAGATTGATCTTGTTTTCTTCAAACAGGTATTTCTGGAATGATAGAAGTCTGGGGTGAAGGGGGGCAGTATCTCATATCCGTTCACAAGGAATAAGCACCCAAGTCACAGAGAGGCTCAGAGTCATCATTTCAATTCATCTCAAGACAGCCCTATTGACCCCACCCCCAACCTGAAGTTTAGGAGCTTAACTAAGAGGGTCCTGGAATTTTATACTTGTGTCTTCTTCCTTTCTATTCTGTACTCTTGGTTAGAAAAAAAGTACCATAGAGGTTTACAGGCTAAATGTGCTTTGTTGTCAGCCCTTCTGCAGAGCCACAGAGCCCATCTGTGGGCACAATGGGGAAACCTATAGTAGCGTGTGTGCTGCATACTCAGATCGTGTAGCAGTCGATTACTACGGGCCCTGCCAGGCTGTCGGGGTCCTCTCAGAGTACGGTTCTGTAGCCGAGTGTGCTGCTGTGAAGTGTCCTTCACTCTCTGTGACTGAGTGCAAACCCATCATCCCACCAGGTAGGTGGCAGGATTTGGAGTGGGGCAAGGGTGGGACTGGGGAGACCTGCTTATACACCTCCAGAGAGTAGGTCACTCAGAACTGAGGGTTGACCTATTTACTTAAGTTTTTTAGAAAGTTTGGCTTGGGGCGCCTGGGTGGCTCCGTTGGGTAATCAATCCTTCTCTTGATTTCGGCTCAGATCATGATCACGAGGTCATGGGATCCAGCCCTGAGTCGAGCTCCATGCTGAGTACAGAGCCAGTTTGAGATTCTCTCTGTCCTCCTCCCTCTGCCCCTTCCCCCACCCCTGCTCTCCTTTTCTCTTTCTAAATAAATAAATAAAATCCTAAAAAAAAAAAAAAAGTCTTAGCTTTACCTGATGCTGATTAGATGTATTACTTTGGGTCTACTTTAAAATGCTGTAGTTTACCTTAGACATCATCTTATCCATTGGATTTAAAACAAATAGCAAGGGTGCTTGGCTGGCTCAGTCAAAAGAGCATGTAACTCTTGATCTCAGGTTTGTGAGTCTGAGCCCCATGTTGGGTGTAGAGATTACTTAAAAATAAATAGACATAAATAAATACAAACAATATATGGCAAACTTTTTTCAGGCCAATTCCCAGCAAACACCAATATATAAACAGATAAGGTACTATTTCATTCAAATGCAAAAAGTTTATTCATTATAAAGTTAATGAACAAAGAACTAGTAGTTAATGAATAAAGAATAAGTAATTAAAGAATAAATAATTGAAATACTTTTGATGAACACAAACATTTGAAATTCAGAGAAACATAAGATAGTGGTCTTAGATTGGCCTTAGCATCTAGTTGCATATAATCAAAAAAGTCTTATTTCATAGACTGTTGTAAGTAGTAAGTTTTCTTAGGCTACTTGCTTCATAGTGCTGTACTTTTCAGTTAAACAGAGGTAACAGAAAAGACTTTATCCTGCGCGGAACAGGTTAATCTGGAGTCTAACAAGTTCATTCCTCCATCCCTGGATTCATCAAATGTTTCTCGAGCTTCTGCCGTATGCTAGAGACTCTTCTAGGCATGGGGGCACAGCAGTGAGAAAAAAAAAAGCCTCTTTCCTCCTGGAGACTATGTTCTGCTATTTTGTTATTGTTTTTTAACAGCTTAAAAAATTTTTTAGAATTAAATTTGTCAAACACTCATGGGATCCCTAGAACATCTGCTCTCTTGTTCTGAGGACAAGAAATCAAAGGCCCAGGAAAGCACTTGCACAGGATCACAGTCGGTTTTGAGACAGGACAGGGACAGGGTCCAGGCCCCACACCTCTTGAAAGGCCAGTTCTCTCTGCTGTCTTAGGCCACCGCACCTCCCCCTGAGAAGTAATAAAGGATGTGGAGGAAGGATTTGAGTAAATGTATAGATAATAAGATCCAGGTTGGTCAGGGAATATATCTAAAAGTACAGTCATCAGAGAGGACAGCTACAACTCACCTCACACAAAATGAAGGGTTGGTTATTTCAGCTACCATTTTGAATTCTCATTTTCTAATTCTGAACACATATAAAATGGTTTCTGTTATACAGGTGCTTGTTGCCCATTATGTGCTGGAATGTTAAGAGTTTTATTTGACAAAGAAAAACTGGATACTATTGCTAAGGTAAATTGCTTTATGTGCCAGGTACTGTTGAAACCTTATTGATAAACCTCTCCTTAATCCTGCAGAGTAGAATGTGTTGTCCCATTTATAGAGGAAGAAAGTAATTCACAGAAAAGCGACTTGTCCAACTCCTCCTCATATGTAGGAGAACTAGGGTTTGAGCTCAGGCTGTCTGGCACTCAATGCTGTGCTCCTTTCCTCTACACCTCGGCTGTTTGGTAACTTTGCTCTGCACAACACCACCTGAGCCTACCTTAGACAAGGTCCCCTGCTTGCATAGTATGTAGAGTGAGGGCTGGAGGCAGAACCAAGCAGCCAGAGGCTGGTAGATGCCCAGATGATTTCAATGCTGCCTGCCCTCACCTCACAGTCCCCATTCTTCCTGGGGGGTGCTTCCAGAGCCTGTCACCTTCCTGTGGTGACTTTGCCCTTTCCCTTTTCTGTACCGTCACTTCTGCTCCACTTCTGTGGAGACAGGGCTCCAGCCAACCTTGCCACTACCTAGAAAATTATCCCCATTTACATTGAAACACCTGTGTTTTTCTGGAAAGACTTTAATTATTTCCCTGTGGCTCCCAGCTCAGAACAGTCCCTTAAAAGGGGCTGGGGGTCTTCTGATGAGAGTGTTTATCTTGGCTACAAAGCTCAGCAGTCAGACAAAAGCCCTTGGGAATGGACCCGAGAGATTTAGAATTCAGCCAGCAGGGCCCCTTTTGGGGCCCACACTTAGGGGTTCTAATAGCAAGGCAGCCTAGGTAGTAATAAGAAATTCCTCTTTTATTCAAGTAACAGAAAGTTTTTCTTTCCAGGTAACAAACAAAAAGCCAATTACAATTCTGGAAATACTTCAGAAAATCCGCATGCACGTATCTGTCCCACAGTGTGACGTATTTGGATACTTCAGTATTGAATCTGAAATTGTGATCCTGATCATTCCTGTCGATCATTATCCAAAAGCTTTGCAGGTGGGGCTCAGCATACCTTGTGCAACCTTCTTGTCACTTTCATGTTTGGAGGACTTAGGAGTGGGGAGGAAATGGAAGCATTTGGAAAGTTAAGGAGGGCAGGAGGGAGAAAATCCAGGCAGCCTCTGGAGAACAGAACTATCCTGGGGGATCACTTTCCAGGTGGTTGAGGCCAGGCACACATCTGACAGCAGAATGGGTGGCAGAGCAGAGAGACTGAGAGGTGGCTCAGAGAATGTAGACATGGAAGGCATCTGCTTAGGTACAGATGAGGTGGCTGAGGCCTAGGGAGGGAAGGGGTTGATATAGGTCATGCAGCAGATACCTGTCTCATGAGGGCTATGCTCCTATAGGAGGAGAAGCCCACCGGGACTGGTCTCACGTACCCCATTTTTCTTCCTCATATTCTAGAGGTGAGCCTCACTCCTGTGGGTCCAGGTGTCAGCATCAGAACAGTGGGGGCTCAAGTGAAGGGAGTGAATATAAGCGGTTTGTAAATTGCCGCAGTCTGGAAGCTTGGTAAAGCCTCATTGCTTTCCTCTGGGATGAGTAAGGAGGCACCAAAAGCTCATTGACTGGGACTATGGTTAATGCGGCTGTGACTGTGAAGGTAATGTCTGTCTAACTGTGGATGAGGGGTAGGGGCAGTGGCACTGTGCCTCATTCCTTTTCTGATTTAATTTCCAGTGATGCTGTTACTATTGGTGTAATAAAGTAAGACTATATTAAAATGTGACTTTGGTTAAGAAAAGAAGGACAAAGAAAGCATATTCTCCCTGTTGGAATATATGTGGATTTTGTCTGACTTGACCTTTTCACAGGCTCTGTGATTTTATTTTTTATTTTTTATTTTTTATTTTTTTGGCTCTGTGGTTTTAGATTTTAAAAATGTGATTATCCTCTTCCAGATTGAGGCTTGCAATAAAGAAGCAGAGAAGATCGAATCTCTTATCAACTCTGACAGCCCCACTCTGGCATCCCACGTCCCTCTGTCTGCCCTCATCATTTCCCAGGTACAGATCTCGAGTAGTGTGCCATCAGCTGGCATCGAGGCCAGAGCCCTCTGCCCCTCCTACCTCCTCCTCCTCAGCCTGGGCCCTGCCTTGCACATGGTCTGGACACATAACTGACCACCCCTGAAAAGTGCAAAATGTTACTCCATTGAATTTTTCTACATGGTGAAAGACATGCAGGACTCCTGGTTTGTAGTTGAATAGTGGCTGAGAAAAAGCACTTGTCACCTCTGTTCACCACACAGTATTTTTTTTTAATCTGCCAATATTAGGGTTTTTGTTTTGTTCTTACAAATGTTAAAATATGTTCTTCCAAATACTAATGAAAAGAGGATGTCTGCTTTTGATGGATCAAAATAGTTTATACTTTGCTCCTTAGATGGGTCCTTCCCACCGTAAAACAAATTCATTATCATTGGTAAGTGAGATGATCACTTTTTTAGAAAAGATACCTCACTTTACTGTAGGCTTCATACCCAGAAACTTCATTTCAAAGTTCTTTTAAGTATTAAGGCGCTCCTGATGTGTGCGTGTGTTTGTTTACAGATAATTAACTACTCTATCTAGAAGCTAGGGGTCACCGTGCAGAGCTTGCTGTTAGAGTGTAAAATAAAGATAATGCATCTTTGGAATTATCATATAAATCATCAGGCAAATTTAATTTACAGAAATTTAATTCAGGAACCCATCTGTTGTGTGAAGCAAAGCCAGCTAAGGAAATGGCATTCACATGATACATTACAAGCAGTAAGCTCCGTGGTTACTAATGTGTGTATGTGTGTATGACTTTTGTGAAAGGAAGAAGTTATAGCACATCAAAGCGTATTGCATTATGCATTTTTATATTAACCAGATATATATTCTTCGGTATTCATCCGAGTCAAACTTAGAGTTTTTAAAACATCAATCTTTAAACCAATTGCTGCTACTTATATACTTGCCAAAAAGTGAAATAATTAGTAGTTCATGTAAATAATACATGATATTTCTATTTTATTATGAAGAAGGTAAATAGCCATATTTGTAAAATGACAATCATGTATGTTAACCCAGTACTTTCCGTTCATGAAGACACATTGCTTTTTGTGACATGCACAGTGTGGATAAGTGTTCTGTCTTTCTTTTTTGATATAGAATTATAAAGAATCATGGTTTATATATTTAAAAATGTCAGTCTAAGTATTAAAATGTTTGCATGTTGTCTAAGTAATTGAATACTTTGAATGTGTTTCACAGTTTGAAATAAGCTATTCAGTGTAATGCTTCTTGTTTGTATGCACCTAAACTTAGATTTTACATGAAGTATTTTTTTCAGTATTATATGTACCTTTTGAAATATATAGGGATATGCTCATTATACCAAAATATTGTTTAAAAGTGAGCACTTAAAGCTTTCGGAATATCTCAGTGCTGATGTAGCATATTTTTTGCAATTGCTTTTTCTATATAAATGTCTTCAATGCAATATACTGGAAAGCTTTTCTATTTTAATAAAAATAATTTTATATGACTATGTGTACTTCCAAGCAGTATGGACATTTAAAATGAAACCCACTGATAACTTTTGGGTAAGCTATGTCCTTTGCTCTGGAAGAAGAAATGATAGGAGTTTTATTATTCCAAGCCAAGGGCCCTGGGAAAGCAGGACAGCTGGAACAGAGCTGCTCAGATGAGAATGAGGCATGACCAGAAGGCATACTGTGGCAAGAAGTCAAGTACAGAGCTTCCCAGCTTTAGGCCCTCCAAGACCCAGGAACAGACTAGGCAGTCCTACTTCCCTGCCATGGACCCAATGTTGCAGCTCCAGGGTACATCCTGAGGCAGAGAGAACTGTGGGCTCTGGAGACAGAGGGCCTATTGATTAGAGCCTGGGAAGTTCTATCCATCAGCTGAGGCTGAGGCCCCAAACCTCCATGGCTGACAACAACAGAGGCTCTCATTTTACTTCCATCACATGTTTACTGTGGGTCAGCTGCACTTCTGCTTTATACCATCTTCACTCCAGGACCCATTCCAGTGTCCTCACAAAGTGGGAGGAAAGAGCCTGGAGTTCTGGGGGAGCTACTCAGAGCTTGCTCTTGGGCTGCCGGTGCTAGCATGGTCGACAGCACAGGTGGCGCTAAGGCCCAGGCTGACGATGGACCCCTGCCCAGATCCCGGATAGGCTGCTGAGGTCACCACTTCCACCACATCATGGATTCACATCCAGCTGTGCTGCATTCCTGTGCAGGAACTAGGAGACCCGTTGGTGCATTTTCTGAAGGCATGGCTGGCTGACTTGATCTTCAGCCCAGACCAAGTCATAATTCTGAAAATGGAGAGGATGAGCCAGGTCCCGCTGATAGTGGACATACTTAACTCTGGAGACTTCGCTGAAATCACCATCTTCAGTCAGCCCTATGTACAAAATCAGGTGAAGAGCATACCCCCGAGCCCTGGCATGGTGGTACCAGGAACATTGTGCCCGAGATATGTGTGTGCGCAGAGGAAAGACCACATGAGGACAAATCAAGATAGTAGCCATCTACAAGTTAAGGAGAGAGGCCTCAGAGGAAACCGACCCTGCTGACATCCTGATCTTGGACTTCCAGCCTTCAGATCTTTTTTTTTTTTTTAAGATTTTATTTATTTATTCATAGACACACAGAGAGAGAGGCAGAGACACAGGGAGAGGGAGAAGCAGGCTCCATGCAGGGAGCCCAATGTGGGACTTGATCCCGGGTCTTCAGGATCACACCCCAGGCGGCAGGCGGCACCAAACTGCTGCGCCACCAGGGCTGCCCCAGCCTTCAGATCTTTGAGAAAATAAGTATCTGTTGTTTAAGCCAAAAAGCAAAACAACAACAAAAGGATGAGGGGAAGAGACAGAACCACAGCTGTCCCTTAGGTCTCTGCTTAGAAGTGACTCTCTTGTTTCTGCTTACATCTTACTGTCCCAAGCAAGTCACATGGCCACTCATGAGTTCAAAAGGTAGGGAGGTATAATCCTTTGTGGGTTTGGGGGGTGGTGTAGGGGAGCCAGCAAGGATGGAGCTGGGGGAGGCACCATGAGTATTTGGAACAATAATATAGTCCACCATGGAGGTTGTTTCTCATCAGAATAGCCAGGACTGACTAAATTTTTTTTTATCAGAAAATCAGTAGTTTTGTGGTCTGAGAAGGAACTAGAGGAATGAGAGAGGTGCTTTGGTTTAGGGGAAGGGAAATATTAAAGGAGAGAAAGCTCTACAGGTCGCTCCTGCTCTCATGATACAACTGTGAGAACTCTGAAGATAGTAAGGGGCAAAACAATCCCAGGTCAGGGCAGTTTGGGGAGATAATTTGCCTCACTTGCATGTTGCTATGACGAACACACCCTGCCTGCCATGTGTATGATTGTCGGTGGCTTTCCAGCACCAGTGTAGGATGGAGCCCCCGCTGGTTAGCTCTCTAGCATTCTGCTAAAGGCTGAGTGTGCCAAGCTGGTAGAGGCCTTGAATCGGGATTCTGTAGGAGACAACTTGGGCTGTGGGAGGAAAGAAGTGACGTTCTTGCACCCCCATAATTTTAGCAGGGAGGACCTGGAAGTTCAGGATGAGGGGGGTCTGTAGGAGGATAATTTAGAATGTGAGATAACCACATGAAAAGTAGTTTCCAGAGAAAGATCCAGAGGTTTCAATGGCCATAGGTAATGAAACCAAGATACCAGAAAAACAAATGAAATAGCTCCCTGTCCAGGCTACAGAAAATAATTGGACAGGAACGGATCCCAAGAGAGTCATAGGTCCAGCCTGGATCACATGCCCACCTCTGTGGCAGAGAAGGAAATGTAGGTGAGCTCTGGTCCCACCTCAACCTGATAGAATGGATTTCTCTCAGGAAATAATCCTTTTCCTAGAAGAAGCCTTCTGATATGTCCTCTGGAGAGTGTCTTTCTAACAAGCCATGAGCCATAAACCAGTTCAACCTGTGAACACAGAGCAATGCCTCGCCCTTGGGCCAGGAACACACCTAGAGTCACCAGAGCCCAGTAACAACCAAGGAGGTACTCTGAAAGCTGACCTACTAAGAAAGGGAATTATTCAAAGTGACTAATAATAATTGTTAAAACAAGAACAAAAATGGGAACAAAAAGGAGAGTCTGTGATGAGTGCAGAAAATTTAAATCCATTAGTGCAAAAAGAAGCAGGCCAACTTGAGGAAGATGCTGCTTACTTCTGGATGCCTCACTTCAGAACCAGCTCTATCAGGCACTTTCCCAAGGGCTCCAGGACAGAGGACCCGAGCTTAAGTCTTGTCACTGGGCGACACTAAATGGTTGATCTCTCCAAAGTCACCAGTTTTCTATAGCACAGGGATAGCAAATGTATGTCACTCATGCCACCACATCCTCATTTTGTGTCCATGGTAGAGATCACAGCTCTGCCATGGTTTCCTGGTGGTTGTCTCAGCTCTAAGCTAAGCTTTAAGCACAGCCTTATGAGCAAGAAGAAAGACCAGAATCATAAGTACCTTCACCAGTGCCTCTTATGAGTAAGAAAAATACTTCTCAGAAATCCTTCAGCAGTTGTCTCTTGTGCCTCCTGGGCCAGGATCAGGTCATATTCCCAACCCTAGACAACTGGCCAAGGAGAGCAGCATGACTGTAGCTAGTCAGGGTCTGTACACTGCTGCCTAAGCCGAGTCAAAGTCCAGGAAGATCAGTAAGAAGGCAAAGGCCAGCAACAGCATTTGCTTCAAGATAAAACCAGGTTTTTTGGCAGTCTCAGCTTGTTAGGGTATAAACATGAAAACAGTTTTACTTTTCTAGTAACTGCCCTCAGCTGTGCTAGGTAGTAGAACTCCATATCAACATTGCCTCTGTATCTTCAGTCTTACCTCAAGTTATCTAACCAGCCTCATTTCATTTCTCAGGCCTCTTCCCTGCTTATTTTAAAATTTCAACCCCGCATCCAACACAAAGACCTCTTTGGCCTCCTCTAGCCTAGGCTCACTTCTCAGTGAGTTGGTGAGCTTGGCAT